GTACGTAGCGTGTTTACGGGCCCTTAAACGCACCTCGCACTGGGCCCAACAATGATATCATCACATTTCCCAAAGTCAAGTATGGGTCAGGAATTTGTTTGTCGTTTATTTTATGTTTTAGTTTCCTGTTGTTTTTGACGATGTTTTTAAAATTCTAATTATGTTACATTAGTTGTACCTTTGTGTTGTTTACATTTTATATGTGGATCGAGTAGTTTATGCGTCTGTCATCCAGTGGTTGTAACATCAGTGTAGATAAAGGTGTATATCAATGCATTATAAGTGCCCACTGCTGAGCAAAACCAAGCTTCTCACATGGAGATTATTTCAGCGTTAATCACCACGCTTGCTTTTTTTTGTGAGGGGAAAATCATCAAATGGCTTTCCCCCCCCCCCACCCTCCCATATCTAAATATATAAAAGTCAAAGGAGTATAGAGAATATAGAGATCTATCAACCCACAGCCCAAACCACTGGACGGATCGGACTGAAATTTGGCATGCAGGTAGATGTTATGACGTAGGCATCCGCTAAGAAAGGATTTCAATTAATTTTACCCCCAAGGGGATGAAAGTTTGCATGAAACTTTGTCAGTTTTGAACCGATCGAGCTGAGACCTTGCATGCATAAAGCTACTATAACGCCTAAGTATTGCGTAGGTACCTATGTTGTACGGGATGCCTACATCCCCCTTTTTTTGGTCAGGGAAAAATATCATATGTGTTCTCCCGCCTAGGGTAAGGCGAGAGAGAGAGTGTCAGACTCTTACTGACTAAAAACCCCTGCGTTCCTTATTCTGCTCTGGGCCGAGGTCGAGGTGCCTCATTGCGCTTATCCCGCAACCCCGGATTGGCAGTTTGAAACTTTTCATTACCATACCTAGAATGTGTGAGAAGAGGTCTTTGCTCATCAGTAGGGACTTCATCATCATCATCATCAGGGCTGATGATGATGATGATGATATATTCATCGTTGTTCATTTAATTTCCAATTTGACATTGGATTTAGCCGTTTTAGTGACGCAAACTTAAGTTTTTGTTATTGAGACGTTAACAGTAAGTTCATTGAAATTCAGGACGCGTCTTCTCACTGAAGCTGTTTCATTCTCATAATTGTTATGTTCAAATTCAAGATTGTTCTAAATGGGACGTTTAAATGAGATAAGATTCGTTCAACATTTTTATTCTTAATTCTCTATCGTTATTCTTTCTTTTTTCTTGCCAGTTTTTCTTATACATAGCGTTTTTTGCTTCTCCTTTGACTGATCAGTAACTTACAGAAACAATTTTTACAAGAGCAAGACTTTTTACTTGTATTATTTATACGTTTCGGCCCAATGAAGGCAACCTCTAAAAACAAACTAATTACGAAAAAATTTGTTGGTTTATGGAAACACATTTTCCAAGATCTGGAACCTTAAACCCCATAGAGCTATTAAACATTAATTTAGTACTCAATCCACTCAAAGTACTTGTAATAAGCAGATGAATACATCACTAATTTCTGTCCAGCAGTTTTTGTGATGACCGCCTTTATACACACAAACAAGCGACGTTGATGTATTTCGACTGGTTCTCCTAAAATAATGTCTGTTTAATTTATATTTGTATTGTTAACAGTTTTTTATCTTTGCAAATTCTAAGAACGAAACGTTGTTTGCATGTTAACTTCAGACGTTTTGCGTGTAATGGTTCTGTTTTCGTATGAATTACGGTTATGGCTTAAATAATTATTTTTTGTTTTTTGTAAAACTTCTTTATTTAAAAGTTTATAATGTGATCTGTATATTCTTTATCGTTTTAAAACCTTTTGGGGTATTGTAGCCTAATTGTGGTTTAATATAGATACATTTGTATAGTTGATAGGCAAGTAAATGACGGGAAATTGCTAATTACTAATTGGCAAAGCAATTACTGGTTGAGCCAATGTGTACGTATACTGTTCTCTGAACAGAAATTGCTACACTGAAACGTTGATTGACACTTAGATACCAATATTTATTATTTTAATGTAATGTTATACAAAATGATTAAACCAAATTATAGATGGGTTTACCACAGACATTAGCAGTTGCTGTCCGAACAAAATTATTACTAAGGATTGTTTTAAGTTAACATTAAACGTCTCTGTGTACGACAACAGATAAGTAATGAAGTAGGTATAAGTAAATTATGATATTAGTGGTTGAAGACATATATAATCAATGGGACGATTGTCGTTTGATTAGCTGTAGGTCAGGCTGAATTATCAGTTGACTGTGGCTACTAGAAATTCAATTGATGAACCAAGCTTCAGTATGAATGGGCCGATAAAAAAGGATGGTATCATGGCCTAACAGAAAACCGGCTTGAATAAAATAAGCGTTATGTTTAGCAGCGTGATTAAGATTGCTGGAGGCTAAATCCTTCCTCACTTCATCCCCAATCCCCAGAAATAGTCTGAAATCCCTTGTAACTCATCTGGTGTTGTGGTCCGGTGCTGATAGCTTAACATCAGGTAATCCATCTGCTCTTGTTTTGAGCAGTATCTCATATAAACACAAGCGAAAATATTTTGCCAAAATTATTTCGTAATTTTGTCTTCTCTTAACGAATCTACCGACATATTAAGCTGACCTTTAGCCTATTTATTACCCAATCTATGTCCTGTCAATCAGCTGAGTGCCTTCAATTATAAGGGCGTAATCCGAGAGTGGTGTAATGTAGAGCATAAATGAGCTAAGACGCCAATCTATAGCAATTTGTGTCTTCTTCTGTCTTTTTCTGATACGCCATTTTGTTGGCCATTTTTTATATCAATTAATCGATACGTGTTTTCTCTACAAATGATATCGAATTTGTCTTCTTAATTGATTTGTTTTATCTCTGCTTTTAGTAAAATCTCTGAAGAGTCTTGTAATAGGTACGTGATATGTTTCTTAAAGCGAGTAGATTTAGGGTTACGCTATACGTAAAAGTTATTTCAGAAAAATAAATAACTACCATATGCCGTTTTGTGATTATCTTTACTTACTAATATTATAAAGAGGTAAAATCTGTAAGTTTGTATGTAGGTGGCAATCTTTGGAACCGCTGGCGGATTTCTAAAACTCTTTTAGGTACTAATTGTTCCCAGGTGCTATATAGGATATTAAACATCACGCTACAATCAAATGAAGCCGAGCAGCGTGTGAAACCGCGCGGGATTAGCTAGTTATACATAATTATGTTTGGATAAAGATGTTTTTCCTGTTACCAAAACTTTGGCTTACACCAGGATTTTCTCCTGTGTCGTGCGTGCCTTTACAAACACATAATTTCACATACATATCCAGACCAGAACCAGAGTAATTCCGTGCGGAACTAGAAACCAAAGTCTTCTTGAATGTATCGCGTGTATACTAAACGTAATATTATATTAAAAGTCCACTTTTCCAAACAAAACCTTAATATTAAGGCATAAAACATAAGAATGTTCCTAAATTTTACCGCTGTTTGGCGAAAAATAAAGAAATTGCCTACCTTAGTCGATTTAGTAGAGTTTGCTTTTAGGTTTTAGTTGAGGTAGGCATTCGTGCTTGCTCAGATTGAGACGAATCTTAAATAGAACAAGTATCTCATCTTTTTTTACGTCTGGCTTTTTATAAAACGTCGAATAAGGGATATTTTTATATAAGATTTTTAGAAAAATAGGCACTCTAGTTTTGTTAATGTTGGAGCTTCTTAAAGCAGGTAATTCGTGATTAAGAAGAAAATATTAGTAAATACCTATCAGTACAAAATGTTACATAATTTGCCAGTAGTGGGAATCATATTCTTCTTTTTTTGCTTTTTGAGATGTTCATGAAGTGACTTTTCTCGGCTTTTTTTTTGTAAAGGGTAAATCATCAGGCGAGAGAGAGTGTCAGACTCTTACTGACTAAAAACCCCTTGTTCCTTCTCCTTCTCTGAGCCAAGGTCGCGGTGACACATTGCGCTTACCCCGCAACCTCGGCTGAACTTCAGCCCTATTGGGCCCCGTCTGTGGTGGTCTATTGGCTCTTTGAGGCGCGCGCGGAATGCTACGCGCCGTACGCTCGGGTCTGGTTCTGGTCGGGCGGCGAGCTACCTTTACTCGCCGTCCTCAGACCCACGCTTACGGTGGCCGGAGACTCCTACTGACTAAATTGTGGCTTATCCTGCTCCGGGACGTAGCCGCGTACATATATCATATTACATATACATATACCTATCTTTAGTAAAACAATACATACAACATAATTGTTAAAACATATTATTCATTATGGAATTTTAAGTTCGTTGATAGTGAAGTCTATTAAACATTTATAACTATATAAATAAACAAAAACCTAATAAAAAGGAATGGCAATATCATTTTGTATATTTAAATCAATGTTTAATTCTATTAGACACACAGTCCAGCATATATTTGCCGTATACTAAGCATATAAAACATATTTATTGGTTTTGTCCAATACTTTGTTTATATCGGCAATAATTTACAAACTTACAAATCTTATTATCTTTGTAGAAAGCTCGCCTTGTCGCCATTTACATATACATGTTTGAATTCAAATTTAGTATCTGATTGCTTTATTATTTACTCAGTTATTTATATTACAAGTTATGTACTACTAAATGCAAAGAACATAAGTGTGGGAGAGCCAAGCTTCGGCACGAATGGAGTCGCTCAACCGGAGTGATACCACAGCCTCACAAAAACCGGCGTGAAACAACCACACCGTTGTGTTTTACCATGTGACTAATCCAAAAAAGGCTGGAACCTTTTAAAGTTCTTTTTGCTATACATTAAAAATGACAACGATTCTTCTTAATGAAGCTAATACACAAGATTATAATTAAGAATTGTAAGTCTAGGGCACGATGTTATTCTTCACCTTATATCAGTGATAACTAAATAAACGTTTCCACCAGGCCACCACGAAGTCTAGAAGTAGCTTATATTAACACCAATATATAACATACCTACATATAACTATAGTTATACTTTCTTTGTTGCAGGTCATAAAGATCCCAGAAACGAAAGAAGGTTACATAGACCTGAATAATCTGGAACAGCGACTGCAGCAGTACAGCACTACAGGACAGCGAATGATTGGGTTCTTCCCAGCAGCTTCTAAATTAACAGGAGTCTTGGCTGATGATGTGGCCACTACACTACTCCTGCATCAGTATGGAGCATGGTCCTTCTGGGATTATACACTGGTCGCTCCTTCATCTGCTATCGACATGAATCCCACTTTCCCTGGAGTTGATGAGGAGATGGTAAAGAAAGATGCTCTCTTCTTCAATTGTGAGAAGTTTGTTGGAGGAGTCCAGGGTCCTTGTGTTGTAATTGTGAAGAAAGACGTATTCGCCGATACTCCAATTTATGCTGATGATGTTGAGGTTCGTATTCTTCTTGCTATTCTTCTTTATTGACTATGTGATGATCTTGCAACATGTGTCTTATCGAACTGTCTCGAAGTTTGATTTTTATTGTTCACCAACTAAGCTGGTTTATTATCACATTAGCTATTGTCCCGCGGTTTCACCCGCTGCTCAGTTCCTACATATTAAATCTAACAAAAACAAAATTGTTCAATTCGCATTATGAGTTTCGGAGATTAGCGCGTTCAAACAAATAAACTCTCCAGCTTTATAATATTAGATATATAATATAGTATAGATAAAGATTTAAAAAAAATGTTTCTACCAACGAATATTTTAGCAGCTTCTAACGCTAGAGCTTCGTTTTAAGGCTAAGCTTGGAGAGGACTCTGCAGATTTGTTTTTCCTTAGTTGCTTCTTGTTAAGTCAAGTCTTAGATAATGCAAGGAGTAGGCAGGAACGAAATTGAATAAGTTAAATATGTATGAGAACATGATGCTAACGTGGCTAGAACTCTGGCAGCTCTTTCGAGAATTTTCTTCTTTATTTTATACCTATTACTACGAAATTTACCTAAACATTTATCGAAAATAGGTATCTACTATTGTATTTTTAAATAACTCTAGTAAAATATTAATTTATTCAAGTAACGAATGAGAAACCTTTTTGTTTTCTAAAGTGGGTTCTATCTAAACTGAAACCCCCGTCTCTGTCTGTCCTTTTGAGATAATTGGGACTTAGAAACGGTTTTAGAACCGAAATACCCAATTATGTAGTTCGCATATTTCTAAGGGACCTATAAATTATGGATCCACGACAAGACAGACATATACACTACCTATTACGATGTAGAATAAGTAACATAAAGAGGTTCATTTCAATTATCACTTAAAAAAAATCCTTTTAAAAAAATATAATAAATAATTCAGGTTGCATTTGGTTAAAGTAAGAACATGAGATTTGATAATAATACTGGCCTGGTAGGTTTAAACTTATGCTATCATGTATGTATATCATCTCAAAATCGAAGTTTGTATAAAATGAGGTTTTAGAAATATTTTATTTTGAAACCTAAAATCTAAAACCTAACCTAACATTTTTCTGCAGGTATTGAGTGAGAGGATCGAGGAGTTGAAGTGTACCGAGGGTGTCAGGGCGGCGCTGGTGATGCAGCTAAGAGATGCAGTCGGCCTTCAGAAAATTGTTGAGAGACAAGATAATATAAGCAGGTAAGACAAAGTTAATTTTTTCGCCATAGTTAGAATTTAATCTGTTATATTTTTTGTTCAGGAATTCTAGGTATACCTACCTAGGTAAGCAGAAAGAACCTTCTTTCATTGTACCGCGATAAACTACTCATAAATTCATCATCATCATCAATTATACCGCATGTCGGTGATGTCTAAATGAAATAAGAAATCTCTTTACTCTCAGAAAAAGACGCATTGGTACATGTCAGGAACATAGAACTCGGAAAAAGTACAGTTACATTGTTTCTTGCCTGATTTCGAACCCATGGGAGGCGGCACCTTAACCTCTGGGCCACCGCGACCTTAAATTCATCATTAGTGGCAAATGTAGTAGGAAAAAATAATGGCAAATGTATGTGTAATCAATAAATGCAACCTTCTATTAAATAAATATTAAACTTTTTCTAATCTTAATAAAACCCAAACCGTTAATTAGATACAAAACAGTTAGGTTCACATCTTTCGAAGTAATATTATACCTAGCGTCATCTAAATATAAAATTTCAATAGCAAAAAATAAAAAGTAAATACATTAGATACTGTTGATTCAATAACGGTAAACGCAATTACGCGTCTTTGGTTTTTTATAACAGTTTTTATTAAGTAAAGCATATTATTATTTAGTTATGGTAATTTCATAATCAGTAGTTAGTCGGAATGTAATAAAGAAGCATCGATTTCAAACATTTATATTTCGAATTGGGATGAAAAATTTATCGATTTTCAACATTTGTAATTCGAATTGAGGTTAAAATATTTTTAAAATGAATTCGAAATATAAATGTTTAAATTCGAGATTTTTAACTCAATTCGAAATATGAATGTTTTTAAACATTCATATCTCGAATTTAAACATTTATATTTCGAATTTATTTTAAAATTATTTTTCAATGTATTCTATGTTGAAATCCACACTTAGTGCTTACGTTACATTTTTTAATAAAGGTTTTCCTCGTCAAGGATTTTATTGAAGCACACTCGGTAATCTAGGCACGTGCCACACTTCAATAACAAGTTCATTTCGCTTGAATAAATCGATTGCAACATCGACGGTGTTGTGTTAATACAGAAAATAGACAAAGAGTTAAACAGCAAGTTTTTTTTATGTGATAGGTCGGCAAACGAGCTGACGGATTACCTGATGGTAAGCAATCAGCGCCGCACATGGACACCCACAACGGAGGAGTTACGAGTGCGTTGCCGACCTTTTAGGGATTAGGGATTTGGAGGTTTAGGGATTGGGGGAGGGGAAGTATTGGGCCTCCGGTAACCTCACTCACACGGCGAAACACAACGCTGTGGTTGTTTCACGCCGGTTTTCTGTGAGGCCGTGGTATCTGTGACCCATTCGTGCCAAAGCATGGCTCTCCCACACTTAAAAAAATCAGCAGGAAATGACTATTCCACGCGAACGGAGACAAAATTTTGACGAGTAAAAGGCCATAAATCAGCACTTTTACTCGTCAAAATTATAGATGAAAAAAAATTATGAAGATTTCCTGTCTAAGTATTCCGAGAAGAAACGCCGAAATAAACTCAGAAGTCAGTTTTTTTTAAGTCCGGAAAATATAAAATTAGTAATAAATAATAGTATTTCCATAGTTTTCATCCACTAGTCCATAGCAACCCATACCCATAACCTTATAAATTTGTACCACATTTCGCAATAGTCCTCCATCAACCGGGGATTGTCCTTGGGTGCACTTTCATAGTGCATACAGGGATAACTGCCGGCTGATGTCCCATTTCACTTATATTAAAGTTGTTCAAAGGGCCTCTGCGAGTTGGCTTCGGCCCCTCGTACGCCTTCCAAAAGTCCGGGACCCTGTGGTCCCGTGAGTGGAAAGGAACATACAAAATAATAAATAATGTATAATGTGGAAAAATCATGCAAGAACATTTAAACGGGCAAAGTCATTGATGATTTGTCCCTCTACAAAAACATGAGACAGTATATGTATAATGTACCTTCACAAAACTCACTCAAGACATAATTTTGTTTACACTGGTTAACGCTTGAAATTTTCATGGCAGTACACGAATAGTGCATTCTCAGGGTTACACAGGAAATAATAAAACTACAGATATATTGCATAACGTGACACATTGATGGTAAACAAAACATTTTATATTATAAAGTTGCGATCTCTTTGAGTGGCGTTTATATTCGCTCGTAAAACTATTCTAGACTTAGGTTTCATGTCTGTACATACGTATTCTTGATTGAGTAGGTAATGGTTTTTAGTATTTTTTTTTTATTTTATTTCCTCTGGCGTTCTTCTACAGGCTAGGTTTATATAAAGTTTAAGTTTGAAATGATAGGAGCGCCTATTTTTTTTTATGTCATAGTTCGGAAAACGAGCTTTACCTGATGGTAAGCAATCAGCGCCGCCCATGTCCGATACTCGCAGTACCAAAGTAATTCCTACAAGTGCGTTGCCGACCTCTCGTGGGTAAATAGGATAGGGCATTGAGGATTGAGGATAGGGGGAAGAATAAAGCCTCTGGTAACCTGACTCACACGCTAAAACACAACGTCAGTGTTGCTTCACGCCGGTTTTCTGTGAGGCCGTGGTATAACTCCGGTCGAGCCGGCGAGCCGAAGCATGGCTTTCCCATACTTATTTGTATGCATAAGTATGGGATTAGTAACTATTAAATATGTAACCATCAAATCTCTTCACCTGTCCTGGGTAAGGAGAGAGAGAATGTCAGACTTTCTGACCAAAAACTTCCCCGTTTCTGGATCGGGATGAAATTTGGCACAGGCGAAGGATACACTCCATAATAGGATATAGGCTCTTTTTTATGAACATGTCTCGCAGGCGAAGCCGTCTGCGGAAGCTAATAAACACTGAAAGGCCGCGTCATGAAGTTAGCAACAATGACATGGCATCAGCAATGACAAAATGGTTTGAGTTGCTTCACTTTGACGATGCGTACTCGGGTTCTAGGTGTTATTATTCTAAGTCTTAAAGCAAATAGGATGTGCCAAATCTAGTATCTCAATTGCGTGGAAAGGTAGATTGTTGAAGGTTAATACAAAACCAGGTTGAAACGAAATACAAACTACCCTATAAACTTGATGTTATTTTCTATAGCGACTGATAAGAAAATTGCTTATAATGCACTGGAATTTTCTACCCGCTTCCAACCCATATGAATAGAAGTCTATTATAATCTAGATTCTAGTCAAACAGTCTCAGCGGTAGTATCTACTGGTAAATAAATTAATAATTTTATGTACTTGTTTACTCATGTGGTGGATATTAAAATACATTTAACTTATGTTGATAGTTATTGTGTATACAATAGATGAATTCATAAGTGTACATAGGAATTTTCTGCTACTTAACTATGAGAGACATCCTTCGACTAAAGTGATATTACGGCCTCACAGAATATCGGCGTGAAACCACTTTTCGTTGTTTAGCTGTTGTGTGGAGGTATAAGACCTCCTTCGCCAACTCAATCCTCACATCCTCTTTTCTCCTAATCTAGCATAACTTTGCAATTTAAGCTTCGAAATGATTTAAAGTTTATTTTTAAATCATTTCGAAGCTTAAGTTAGTTTCTAAATAGTCAAATTCAATACTTACTCTTATTGAAATGTAAAAATATACTATGAACGTCAAAAATAATACTTTTCTAAGAAATCATATAAAATCGCATCATAATTATGACGTCATAATGTGTTTACATCCAATAGCATACCAAAGTATAAAATACGATAATTCGTCGAAATTAAATAATAGGTATTTTAATAATTCATTTTATTGAAAAGCCACAATAATTTATTACTATAGTTTTTTAAATTGCATAAAATAATACCAACACAAAATACTGATATCTCTTGCTACTACATACTTATTTGTGCACGGAAGGCGCCTCGCCGTGTCTGTGACGGGAGCTTGTGCGTCATACATACAGAGTTGCTGACATACTACGTAACGATTTATGATGCTGCACGCGAATGGGGAACGGGAAAGTGATGAATTTTCCCACTTGAATCCTTGAAATTTATCGTTGAATTATTACTATTTTTCTGATTTTATGTTGCTATGTGGCTTTTTACTCTCCAACTTAGTAAGCATGTAGCTTTACTTTGAATTCTTTTACTCAAATGAATTACATTTCACACATCACCACCTAAATAAGGATTGTTAACGTAAATAAATGTGTGTGAGAGAGAGGACATATGTGTGAAAGAGAAAAAGGATAGAAGGATATTTAAAAAAACATGATGGCATAATGTTTGATTTGAGGTGTGTGCTCTGTGCTCGGTTTTATTCGAAAGATGAAATAATTAAACGATTACACTTTCTTCGCCGCTCCAACCCTGATCAATGTTTCATTAATGTTATCAAAATTAACTGTAACAATAAAAAAGTGTTACTAAAATCAAACAGTATGGACGTGTTTACTTACTTTAACCTATAGATCTAGACTTACGTAAAAAAGTTACAATTCGCATCATGTCTTCAAACAATTTTGAAGACAAATAGATTGTAGTGCAACTGCCCAGCTTGGCACTGTTCCCGTCAGAAGCATATCTGCTTCACCGCAGTTTTTATATCGCTGCGGCTTCCTGGAGTAGAATATACATCGCAAATTATTTCAGAAATATACCACAAGTCAAGCTTAATTATCTACTTTTCATGTTTACAGACTTTGCCGACGCGATGTACGAGTTATCAATAGATTTATAGTATTTTCTCATCTTATATTCTTCACATGTAGTTATTAATTAAATTACAATGAAATATGGCCGAAATGCAATATAAGTTGTTTTTGTATTCATCTTCTTTTGAAACAACATACGCACTTTAAATGTATTCCGTTATTTGATTTTTAGTCTCCTAAGATACTAAGACCGAATTCTAGACTAGTCTTAGCATATAAATTATTTTAATAGTTTGGTCCCAAGATAGCTCCTTGTGGAAACCTCTAGGGGATTCTCTGAAGACATTAAGATAAAA